AATGTAGAGAAGAGAAGAGGAAGAGAAGAGAGAACTGTAGAATCTGAATGTTCTGCCGTCGCCACTTCTATTTAGTATTTATAGGTTATGCTCATTACATGGAAAGGACCCTTAGTATTTACATAACAAATAGAACAAAATAAAACTGAAATAAATAACAACTGAAATAACCAACTGACCACCAGCTAACCCTAGAAAGACTAGAACACCTTCTACCCTATGAACACAGTGGGACCGTAGCTGTGGGGCCCACATTAGTGTTCTCTACAAACCTTTTGAGAGAAATAGGAAATATGGCATGTAAACCAGCTTCCACGCCTATAGATCCCAATCATAAACTTGGAGAGGTCAACGAGAATGCAAGTGTAGACAAGGAGATGTTCCAAAGACTAGTTGGAAAACTCCTTTGTCTTGCACATACACAACCGGATATTGCACTATTTGAAAGCCAATCCAGGAAAAGGAATTTTATTCAGAAGAAATGGGGGACTCATCGAATTCTGCACTATTTGAAGCATATACAAATGCCGATTATGCAGGATCTCCAGTTGATAGGCGGTTCACTTTTGGTTACTGTACCTTATTGGGGAGGAAACTTAGTCACTTGGAGGAGTAAGAAGCAAAATGTAGTGGCTCGGTCAAGTGCASAGGSAGAATTYWGGGCTATGGCACAAGGARTGTGTGAATTACTCTGGTTGAAGATAATTTTAGAAGACCTGAAGATTCCACGAGAAGAGCCTATGAARCTATATTGTGACAACAAGTCAGCCATCAATATTGCTCACATTCCTGTTCAACATGACAGGACGAAGCACATCAAAATTGACTGACACTTTATAAAAGAGAGATTGGACAGCAAGATGATTTGCACTCCCTATGTGTCTACAAAAGGACAACTGGCCGATGTACTTTCTAAAGGGCTCAATAGTACAGACTTTCGAAGAATTATAGCCAAGCTGTGAATGGAGGATCTCTATTCACCAGCTTGAGGGGGAGTGTTGGAAAACGTGGGGTTACTGGTGCAGATCCATATTTGGTAGTTGTGTAAAAATAGAATTGTATATATTCCTAGGATTGATTTAGAAAGTCTTTCTTTCTATTCTTGTACTTTCTATTTTCTTTTCTTTCTATTTATTGCTGCAGCTTACTGTATAAATACCGATTGGCAATAGAATGAAATACATCAGTATTCTACCATTCCAAAACAGGGAACAAACCCATAATGTTATCATATTAACTTTTTCTTGTTCCTCTCACACCTTGTCTCCATAGGCACAAACTACCCTAATTTCACCTTTCTTTTTTATTTTTTATAACCTTGTGAAGTAGATAATCAAGGTTATACTATCAATTCCATCAAACTGACTTATCATTTTCTGGATCTTTTTCATCATCATAATCCCATAATGAACCACTTACTAAGATTGTCTGATCAGGTGAATTTATTTCTTCAGAATATAGTCTGTAACTTATCCGATATTAGATACTTGCATCTAATTTTTGACCATAGGTAATGTAATGCTGATACATCTTTCCTTGTACTTTTTAAGTCTGGTTTAATTCATTTTTAATTTTATTTTGGTCTATTGAGAAATCTGTGTTGCTTGCATTGTTAAGAGTACTCATGTTCTGGTAAACACTGGCTGATTCTGAGCCTTTTAACATTTTTGTTGCATCAACTCATTTCAGCATCTTAATATTGTATAGAAAAAGTTGACTTGACTTCTACTCTCCTGGTGATTTTTAATGTCAGCCCAGCACGTACATGCATCTTATAACACCTATTTATGGTCCACAGGAGTTGATTCAGCCTTATGTCATAAGTATTATATCCATGGAGGCTGATCATGTTCTTGAAGTGGCAAAAGATGCAGGGGGTGGACGAGTTCTGGAATCTTTTCTTGGTTCAGATGCTTCTGCCAAGCATAAGCGCAAATTACTTGTGAAGTAAGTTAATCAAAGGTTGAGGTGCATATTTCTTCTTAAAAACTGTTATGCTACATGGTGTAAGTACTATACTAGAGGATATATGGTGATTCAACCATATGGACTACTGATGTTCCCCTTTACTCTCAAGCTGCATTATACATGTAGATGCTGCTTTTGTGCTAGATTCATTTTATCACATCCTGGAATCAGCATCATTTAAGACAACGGTGCAGTGTTAACTTAACAAAGAGACATGATGATATATGGGGGCTATGGAGAATTTTAAATTGTATGAGGTTGCATTGTAATGTTTAAAACACATCCAATGATACATAAAGAAGGCACATCAATATGGCTATGAGACATCCTATATTGAGGTGTATCATTGATCTTCTAGACAATACTTATTATCTCTTTTCTACACAGCCTTAATTGATAGTTTAGTTCTGCCTTGTTTAATTGGTAGGCAACATCTTGTACTATATTGTTGTACAATCTACTTCTTGTACAGAGCAGGGTGCATGTAATGCCCACTGGCCATACCACAGAGAGTCTGCAGTTCTGCAGGTTTGATCCCGTGGCTCCTATTTGGAGGGGTATCAAGTGACCATCTTGACAACTTGGTCTTTTTTTTTTGTTGAATAACAACTGAGTCATTTTCCTCTCTATACTTTGATATACAGTATATACTTGTATACTTTTCAACTGCCCAGAGTACTTGTAGCAGCATCAATACTCAGGGAACATTTGACAATCAACATATTTTATTAATTTGCTAGTAGGAATAACAATAGTACATAAAAAAAGTGTTCTGTTGTATTAGGTCCCCCTAGAACCAACTCTCAAAATAAATGTGCTATATTCATTCCTTGTCTAGACAAGCATCAACCTTGCTGTTGCCTGTTGGCACATCTAGGAGTTTATTGGAAACATACATTCAGTTCAGATGCCAGCAATCTAACTTCCCTCAATATGCCAGCAAGCTAGCCCACTACTACATTGGAGTCCCCCTCCACTATTATGTTTCTGTAGTTAAGATCCCTTCCCATCTTTAGTCCTTCAAGCACCATCAAGAGTACTGTCCTAGTGGAGCCTCCATGTCCAGTGGATCCTAAGAAAAATGTCATAATAGTCCCATTATGTTTTCGGAACACTCCTTGAACCTCTGAATTAACTGAGTTCTCTAGGCTGCAACAATCAAAATTCAACTTTATACACTAGGAGGCCTCCATTTATGTGTTATTCTCATTCTAGTCGTGGATGAGGCAGCACTGACTTGTCAAATCCTAATGAGGTCATCTGTGGAGATACGTGTCAAGGTGGGCAAGGTCTTCACCCAATTCACTATGCTTGTCATGATGGCTTTCTGTTTCCATTAATCCTTCCTTGGATTAGCATTTGTCTTCAAATATTCTTTTATTACATTACTCCCATACAGGCCATAATACTGCAGATATTGTGCATCTCCATGATATTTTTTACCTTTCTTTCTAGGTGGAATAAAGAAGCAGTTTTGAATAAGCTCCTCAAGTCCACTGTGGGATTCCACCTGCAACCAAAAATGAATGGAAAAATGTGAAATAGAGGAGACAAATTGACAGAAGATTAGGAAGCTTAAGGTAATCGTACAACACCATAAGGTAGAGCTGTCAACGGGTCACATCTGGGTTGGGACAGGGTGGTCCAGTCCCAAACCGAGTATTAATTGGGACAAAATCACAGACCCAGAACCATCCCAGTTAATAATCAGGTCTGTTGGGTCCAGATCTGATGGACCCGATTATACCAAAAATTATATTGGTTTTATTAAGCAGTAACTTAGAATTTAAATTTTGATAGTATAAAACCTTAATAAAAATGAGGTTGCCTCTACTTTTCATGTACCTTCCAATTCTGGATCTGGGTATGGTTGGGACTTGGATCTGAGAAGAGCAGTTAGGGATACAGAAATGGGTAGTATATCAGACTTTTGGATATTCTTGATAAAGTGTTCTTGGTCCCCACTAAATCTGATAGACGAATTTGGACCCCTTCACCTTCTAGCTTGTTTTCTTGTGCTTCATTCTTCAATTCCCTAACATCTTGACAATGTTTTAAAACGTGGAGGCGTGACGCAAGGCATTCCACTACCTAGAGGCGTGAGGTGTAGCTCACAACACAAGAGGCATAAGCCTTCCAAACACAAGGAGGCATAAGCCTTCTTCCCTTCCCTTTCCTTTTCTTTTTTTTTTTTTCTTCTCCTTCTTTTTCTTTCCCTTTCCTTTCCTTTCCTTTCCTTTCTTTTTTTTTTCTTTTTTTTTTTGTCTTTTTATATCAGATGTGCATGAGGCGTACACCTCTAGCACGCCTCGTGATAAAAGCGCAAGAGGCGTACGCCTCAGAGGTGTCTGCGCCTCTGGCATACACTTCTGTGTTTTGAAAGCGCCTCCAGGCGTACGCCTCCCACCCCTTTTAAAACACTGCTTCTTGATGATTCTAGTGGCATTTCTTTTCCTGCGAAAGAGGTTGGAAAAATCTTATTCCCCTTAGGGTTGGGAGCTTTTGTTGGGAAGCATTCTTGGAAAGAGTCAATGCCTGTGACTTGCTTCAAAAGAAGAGATTAAACAACTGTTTTTCCCCTCTTTGGTGTGTACTTCGTAAAGCTGATGGTGAGGAATAGAAGAACAGGAGTGGACACAGGGACTGGAATTGGAAGAGGAATAGATTGCTCACTCACTTTCCCAAAACACTCGCCATGAGAAGAACCCTTCGAGAAAAAGGATGTGGACTGAAAAAATGTGACATCCATAGTAACATACCGACTCTCAGAGACTGGGTCATAGCAGTAGTACCCTTTCTAATTTTCTGCATACCCAAGAAAAAAACACTTCTTTGCCTTTGGATCGAGCTTCGAGCGTGAGGACCAAGAACATGTGCAAAGCAAACACACCCAAAAACCCTGAGAGGGATGTGGAACATCTCCCCCTCAGGCCACCAACCCCTCTTGATTTATATACTTAAAATAAAAGAATGGAAGATTACAAGAATACCCTTAGTAGGGTGGCTACTTTAAGTAGTTGAACAGTCACAACTTAAAATAACATAAACCAATGGGCCTAAGGCCCAATAACTTCCTAACTTAACAACTTAAAAATAAAAAATAAAAGGCTGGGCCCAATAACTTAAAGTCAACCCAACTCAACAAGGGTTATTCTCAGACAAGGAAAGAACTAAAGAATCTATGATAGAAGTGGTTTTCAACAGAGTAGTACACTGGACTAAATCCTTGGATCTTTTTAAGGATTTTACAATGGAAGATTTCACAAGTAATTGAAAGGAAATTGCTTCCTCAGTCCCAGTTAAGAATGTTTTAATCCCTTCCTGGACCCCAATTAAATATTTGGAGCAGTGTTGGAAATCCAGGGCCATCAGGAATTGGAGATGTTTTTAGGAATGAGGAAGGAAAGTTCATTACACTCTTCTCTGGCTCAATTGGAGAAGGTGACTGTCTAAGGGCTGAACTAATGGCAGTTTTGGAACGGGTTAAGAGGGCAAAGGAGATGGGCATTCGTAAGCTAATCATAGGTGACTCCAAACTAGTGGTGGGATGATTGATTGATGAGAGGAGTGGATTCTGGAATTACAGCAATGAAAGGAAAATGCTGAAGTGGTTAACACAGGATGTTGAAGTTAAAGTGGTTTGGGTCAAAAGAAATGCCAATTCCATAGCTGATGGTCTAGCAAAGCAAGGGATGAATAGGGATGCAATGCTTTGGGCTCAATTTTAATTGCTAATTTTCTTGTTTTTTGGTTTCTTTGTACCTTTATGGGGGTGCTAAGAGAGTTTATCTCTCCCTGTTCTTTTCTTGGCTTTGTTTCTTAATAAAGCTATTGTTATTGATGAAAAAATATAACCTTTATAAAAATGATAGAAAAATATAAAATTATTATGTTAATGAATTAAACATTTTTAACTAATATTATCATATGTATACTCTTTCAAATTTACCATTTCAAACATAAAATATGGTAAAATTTATAAGAAAATTAATAAAATCTTATATATATATATAATAAAATAATGGTTATGGGTCTGAATTAGTTTGGGACAGTCAAGAACCAGAACTGACCAAATTATTAATTGGGACAAAATTGTGGAAACAGAATCATTGTAATCGGTTCGGCAGGTTCTGGTCTGTTGGGTATGGCCCTACCATAAGGCCTTAATATGCAAAAAGAAATAACACATGATGCATGTGTTTGTGACCTGATGAATGATAATTAATTCATGCTTCAATAAGGAACATGTCATGCCTAACTTGGGTGAATGACCTTGTGAAAATATTTTGATTTTAATATATAATATCAGGGGGGTTCACAAGGAAAGGGTGTCAAGGGGTTCTTTTCAGTGTTTAAATAATTATAGGTTGGTGAGTTCCAAAGGTTCACACAATATGACTGAGGAAGGCTGTATGTAGCATGCCTTACTCGAAATTGATTCAAGAACTGTAATTTTTCATTGAGAACTTGCTGAGTTCACTAGATATTCACTGTTCTTACACCTTAAGCTCAATTAAACTAAAAATACTTTTTTTATTAAATTAAGCTTTTTATCATCACAATCATCCATGCCTTATCCCAACTATATAGGGGTGGCTACATGAATCCTGTTTTGCCAATCTGTTCAATTTAAAGCCATATCCTTTGTTAATTTATTAGTGTTTAAATCATTTCTTACTGCTACCCATGTCCATTTTGGTCTACCCCTAGCTAGCACCTTCAACTAGAAGGGTCAGGGGTAGACCAAAAAGGACATGGGTTGAAGTAGAGTTGAGAAAAACACAAATATGTACAAAGCCTTTAGCTCCCACAACCAATAGGCCATCCCTTGCTGCCTCTATATTAAACCATTATTGAAATATAACAAGCTATTACATAAAGGCAATTTTTATATTAAATAAACAAGAAAAAGGTACAACAAGGTAACAACATATCACCCACAAAATTTGAAAACCCAAAACCCACATCACCACGACCCT